ATACTTCAGTGGCTCACAGCTTCTCTTAAGACAAATAAAACCCAAACTCCTTTATGGGTTAGAGGTGTAGCTCAGTGGTAGAGCACTTGTCTAGAATATGTGAGGCTTAGGATTCAATCCCTAATAGCACAAAACTAAACACAGCAAAGTGCCAAGCACTCACAGTAGGCCTTCACTAGCAAGAGGCAGCCCTTCCCTAGCTCAGCCTCAGTAGGAAGGCCTGGCACCCATACCAAGCTGAGCCAGTAACCGCTGCTGCTCCTGCATGATCTCTTCAGGAGCCATGGCTTGCAGCCTTGCTACATTCTCCTCGTGGATAGTCTGGGCTTCCTGCTCAGCCTCTTGACTCTTGAGCCCCTTCCCTGTGACCAGATGTGGTTCCTGGAAGTCATGGCTGTTCCCTGGAAGCTGGCTGTCTTTGTCCCTAGGGGAGGGTGCCTCATAGGTCACAGCGCCTGAAAGAAGTTTAAGATTAGTTTTATTGCTCTACATTTCTAGCTCTACCTAGACCCTCTGGCCCTCTCCTATAAGCTTATTATCCCTGGAGACAGGCAAAGGTGCCAGAACTTCCCTGGGCACAGAATGGAGATCACATTGCATTCCAGGTACTGGAGGAGACAGTGGCAGCTTCTTACTCACTCTTCCCTTACAACTTATATGAAAAGACTTCTGAAACAACCAGTTTCTGACCAAGCCATCTACCAGGAGCCTACCCCATGTTCCTCCACTTGTAATCTGCATCATTAATGAAAACTTGTTCAATATCTTTATTGTGTCTTCCAGATACTTCTAACCTTTCCTACTTTCCTTCCTTTCTTGGCCCAGGCTGCCCTTGATTCTCTTGCCTCAGACTCCAAACTGCTAGGATTATAGTAGTTTGTCACCACCCCTGCACTCCCTTCCCTTTCTGTTAGAGTCATATAATAGCCTGTTCCATCTGTGGATAAGGCACCCATATGTAGCATCCCAAGTACATGGGGTAACCTTTTCTTGAGACTCAAATACACCTCTATCTTATTTGAGGTATGGAACGTGTATATTTAAAAATGACCCTATGACTGTGTCCTCTAAAAAGCTAAGCCCAGGGGCTATGGGTGTAGCTTAATAATAGTTGTCTAGCATACTCAAGGTCCTAGATATGATCCCTAATGCTAAAAAAATAAAAATAAGGGGGGGGAGGCTGTGACTTCCTGTTCCTCATTTCTTCTACCAGCATGTTCTAGGCTCAGTTTGACAAAGTTGTTGAAGCAGTCAAATGCCTCAAGACACCTAACCAGTAGATGATGAGATGCTGTTCATATACTGTTGCTTCAAGTAAGCTACCATAGGGAACACAGGTACAGAATAGTCCAGAATGTTGGACATTAAAGGCAGGGGCAAGTGGGATGCATGGAATCAGCTGAAAAGGACTTCCAAGGAAAGTGCCATGAAAGCCTACAAAGTAAAGAAAAAATACAGAATAGGAAGGACTGGATTTGGCCGATAGCCAGACATGTAACCTAAAATGATGTAATGCCTTTGTTTTGTTTTATTTTTAAATTTAAAACTTTAAAATTATTTTAAATTATGTATGTCTGTGTCTGTGTCTATTCACTTCTATGCTGGTGACTGTGGAGGCTGGATCCCCTGGAGCTGGAGTTAAAGGTGGTTGTAAGCTGCCTGCTACGGGTCCTGCGAACGGAACTCAGGTCTTCTGCAAGAGCAGTATGCATTCTCAACCTCTGAGCCATCTCTCCAGCCCCAATGCCATGGCTTTTTAATAGCATGGATGATGCAGTTCTCAAAAATTAGAGGCAGAATTACTTACTGACCCTCCCATAGTAGTTCTTCCCCGAAATCAATGGAAAGCACATTTGAGAGACAAGGAATGTAGCTTTATTGCTAGCATGGACATGCCTGCTAGCCTACATGAAATCCTGGATTTGATCTTATAACCACATAACCTGGGCATAGTGGCACATATCTGTAATCCTAGTACTCAGGAGCAGAAGCAGGAGGATCACAATTTTAAAGTCTTCCATTACACTGTGTTTGAGGCCAGCCTGGCATACACGAGACCTTATCTCACCCCACCAACCCATGAAAAAAAAAGCCTTAGCAGCACTCACCCTCTGGTGGGTTCAGGTTAGATACAACCTCCCCAACTGATGGGACCCTGCTTTCGGACACCCTTCTTGCTGCAATCTCTTGGGCAAAGATGCTCCTTTTACCAGATGCTGCTAGCTTCCCCTACAGGGCAAAGAAAAAAACTCAGGTTGGTGATATTCATTATCCACTGTTCCTTAACCCCTTAAACCAAGGCTCTGGAACAAAGAGACAAAAGAAACTATGCTCTATCTCCTAGGGTCACAGTTCTACTTCTCAGAAAAAAAAATAGGACTTCCTGGATGTGGCAGTACACATCTAAAACACAGCACTTGGGAGGTGGGGGTAGGAAGACCAGGACAATTCTCTGCTACATTCTAAGTTTGAGGCTAGCCTAGGCTAAATGAGACCCTGTCTCAAAACAACAACAACAACAAAAACCACTCAGGAGCCAGAGGTAGAGGCAGGTGGATCTCTGTGAGTTCAAAACCAGCCTGGTCTTAATAGCAGCAGGCCAGCCAGGGCTATATAGTGAGACCCTCTCTTAAAAAAATAAGAGGGCCAGCAAGATGGCTCAGCAGGGAATGTCACTTGCCACCAAGCCTGACAGCCTGAGTTTGATTGCTGGAACCCACAATGACTGAAGGACAGAACCAACTCCTATAAGTTGTCCTCTGATTTCCACATGTAGGCTTGAGCCCACACACATACACACATGTATACACAAATACATAAATATAATTTAAATAATTTGTTATTTTTATTTTATGTGTATGAGTGTATTGCCTGTATTTATATAAGTACAGTCATGTCATGCAATGTCTGTGGAGGTCAGAAGAGGGTGTTGTATACCCTGGAACTGGAGTTACAGATGGTTGTTAGACATCAAGTAGGTGCTAGGATTTGAATCTGGGTCCTCTGCAAGAGCAGCCAGTGCTCTTAACCCCTGAGCAATCTCTCCAGCTGCCCATAAATGTAATTTAAAAAAGAAAACAAAAGGGGTTGGAGAGAGAGTTCGGTAGGTAAAAGGGATTATTCTGCAAGCATAAGGACCTCAGAATTCCCAGAATCTGTATAAAACTGGACGCAATAGTGCACATCTATAATCTCAGTGTTCCTAGAAAGGCAGGCAGAGACAGGAGACTCCTTAGAAATTCAAAGACCAGCTAGCTTGACATGTGCAGCAGTGAAACAAATAAAGAGACCCTGTTTCAAACAAGGGAGATGGTAAGATTTTAACTCCAGGTTGTCCTCTGACCTCCACATCTGTGCCATACACTTACACAAACACACACTCACATCTCTCTCTCTCTCTCTCTCTCTCTCTCTCTCTCTCTCTCTCTCACATACACACACACACACACACACACACACAAACACACACGAGAAAAGAAAAAGTAGGATTTGGGTTAGGTGTATAGTTCAATGGTACAGTATCTGCCCAGCATGCATCATGAAGCACTGGACTCAACTCCCAGCACTGAAAAAAACAAAACAATTCCAACATTCTAAGAGACCGAGGCAAAGAGGATTGCTGTGAGTCTCAGGCCAGCCTGGGCTACATACAGATTGAGACTCCCTCAAAAAACACGAAGGGGAAAAAAAAGGAATTGCTTATCTTAGCTAAAACTACCCGCCTGGGGAAGATGCACTCTGAGACTCACTGGTTCCTTAAGCACTACAGAAGGTAACCCCTGCCTACCTGTTTCTCCTGTGAGCGATGGAACACAGGGGGGAAAGCAACACCACTGGGCACAGGCAGATTCAGAGTCACTGAACGTGTATCTCGTTCCTGTGGCAACAAAGCACAAAGTAATGGAAATGCATTTCTCCAGGCTAGACACAATTCCAATGGCCCCATGATCCTCATTCCAAGAGTCCATGAGCCCATGGTAGATACAGTCTAGGTGGTTTTCAGCCAGTCCCAACCTGACTAATGAGTGGAAAGGTCTACCTTTCTGCAGCACTCTCCTTTCATAAACCCTTTCCTCCTCCAAACTGAATGCTCTGCCTCACCCAGCTTGACTCACAATAATCTTGGTCAAGACAGCAGTGATATGCTGATCGTGCCTGCTAAGCCTCTCTTCAGGATCCTCGTCCTGAGGTAGGGGTTGGCCAGGGCTGGGCCTGGCTCTCTTTGCAGGAGCAGGAACCAAAGCTGGGGGCAAATCTGGGAGATCTGAAGGAAAAAAAAATCCAGATGTGAGGATATTTATACCTTCTAAGGAAGACATCAAGGGCTGGAGGTGAGGGCAAAGGAAAAACAGTTGCTGTAGGTCCTTGTTCAGGCTGTGTCACCTCAGGTAAGACAGTTTCTTCATCTATATAATGGAGCTGCAGAGGTGGGTGTGGTACCACATACCTATTAGCCCAGGACTTGAGAGGCTTAGGTGGAAGGATTGCTATAAGTTCAAAGTCAGCCTGGGCAAATAGTGAGTTCCAGACAAGCCAGAACTACCAGGTGAAACCCTACCTCACAAATAAAATAATAAAAAATAAAATAAAATAAATAAAAAGCAACTGTAGTAAGAGAGGCTACAACGTTTCTACAATGATAGGGCAGAACTCAGCCACTTCAGGATAAAGGAGGGGATTCAAGCAGTCCCCTCTCTCAAGCCCATGCTTGCAGCACTCACCGTCCAGCATCACCACATCCCGATGGTCATGCAGTGGAGGCTGGTCTGGGTGAGCATCACCATATCTACTTCCTTTCACCAGCTGTACTGCTGGAGTCGCACCAGCTTCGAGAAACTGACTTTGGAAGCGCAGCAGGTCTACCTCAGATTCCCCTGGCTTTGGTCTGGCCAGCATCATGACACTCAAGCTGTCTCCTTTGTGACTCCTTTCAGGACTGCTTTCTTGGTGTGGAGAATCCTTCTTAATCACGTCTAAAAGCAATTAGGTTGACAGGTCCTGTAACTGCATGCCACTTCTCTTTATCATGCCGCAGAGAGGACTCTCTTGTGAGCTTGTGTGAACTCACTCTTCCTCATTGCCATTCCTTTCTCCTTCAGCCTTCCCTGGTCATAACCCAGCAAAAGTATCATAGCCAAGGCTAGGGGTGGTGGAGCATCCCTGTAATCCTAGCACTTAGCAGTAGAGGCAGTAGGATCAAGAGTTCATGGTTATCCTTGGCTGTATACTGAGTTTAAGGCTGTATACTGAGCTACAAGAGACTGTCAAAACAAACAAGCAAAAGGATATATAGGCAACTTAAGTTGTTTACAACTCTGGGTGACAAAACGTTCAGAAACAACCAACAGGAACCTAAGTAAGAAAAATGCCATCAGAGCCCAAGCAGATGTCACAGTAGTGACATATCAAAGTCCATATCAAAGTGGAGAGTATACACTCTGAGCTACAAGTATCAAGATATTACAAATCAGAAGTGGTGGCACACCCCTTTAATTCCAGCATTCAGGAAGCAGAAGTAGACAGATCTCCATGAGTTTGAAACCAGTCTGGTCTACACAGTGAGTTCCAGGCTAGCTAGGGTTACACAGGGAGACCCTGTCTCAGAAAACAAAAACAAACAAAAAAAGGAACAACCAAAAAATGGAATTAAGAAATTAATCTCAGGTTGGAGAGATGGCTCATGGGTTAAGAGCACTGATTGTTCTTGCAGAGAACCCAGGTTCAATCCCACCACCCACATGGGGGTTAACAACCACCTGTAGCTCCAGTTACAGGGGATCTGACACCTTCTTCTGACCTCCGAGAGCATTGCACAACAAGGGTGCACTTATATACATGCAGGCAATACATTCATACACATAAAATAAAAATAATAATAATAATAATAAAAAGAAGACCTGGATTTGAATCCCAGCACCCACATGGAAGCTAACAACTGTCCATAACTCTAGTTCCATAGAATCTGACACCCTCTTCTGGCCTCCATAGCCATTGCATGATACTGATCCACTTACATACATGCAGGGAATACACTCATACACATAAAATAAAATAAAATAAAACAAATACATTTTAAAAAGAAAACAATCTCAAGCTAGAAGTGGTGGTGTCCACCTGTAACATCAACAGTGGGAAAGCTGAGGCAGAAAGAGTGCCACAAGTTTGAGGCCAGCCTGGTCTGCATTGAGAGTTCCAGGCCAATGTGGACTGTTGTGTGAGACTCTATATATATGTAAAAAAATACATAGGTATACTAATAACTAATAAGCACATGAAAGGCTGTTTATTATTAGTAATACTAGATACAAAAATCAAAACTACATAATTGGAGCTGGCCATGGTGGTATACACCTTTAATCTCAGGACTCAGGAGGCAGAAGCAGGCAGATCTCTGTGAGTTTGAGGCTAGCCTGGTCTACATAGCAAGTTTCTGACCAGCCAGGGGCTAGTAGTGAGATCCTGTCTCAAAATAAAACAAAACACTGTATAACTGGCACACTAGTACATACCTATAGTCCCAGCTGCTTGGGAGGCTGAGGCAAATAAATCACTTTGAAAGCAGGAGTTTTGAGACCAGCCTGGTCAATACAGCAACACATCCATCTCAAAAAGAAACAAAAAAGAAAAACAAAGCAAAATCAAAACCACAATGAGGCCAGGTGGCAGGAGGAACCAGGGGGTTTGGGGATGGGGAAGGAAGTGGGGAGAGAGTATAGCTCAGTGGTAGAGCACCAAGAATACAATGAGCTGCTTATTTCAGACCTACTGGGAAGACTGTAACTTTTAAAGGAGAGGCCAGGAATAAAAAACAAAAACCATTGGTGAGGATATGGAGAAACTGGCACCCTCATGCATTCCTGGCAGGAATATAAAATGGTGTAGTCATTAGTGAAAACGGTTTGGCAGGGTCTCAAAAACTTAAACATAGAACTACCATAGAGCATAGCAATTCAAATCCTTGGTATACACCCAAGAAAAATGAAAACACATGTTCATAAAACCATGTACATGGGGTCTGGAGAGATGGCTCAGTGGTTAAGAGCACTGGCTGCCCTTGTAGAGACCCAGGATTGGTTCCCAGTACCCACACACCAGTTAACAACTGTAATTCCAATTCCAGGGAATTCACTGCCCTCTTCTGGAGTCATGGGTATTGTATCCATTCAGTGCACATATATACCTGCAGGCAAAACACTCATACATAAAAAAAGTTTTTAAAACATGTACTTGAAGCCCAGATTAGTAGCACAAGCCTTTAATCCCAGCACTCAGGAGGCAGAGGCAGGCAGATTTCTGTGAGTTCAAGGCCAGCCTGATCTACATAGTGAGTTCCAAGCCAGCTGGGGCTACAGGGAGACCCTGTCTCAAAAAGACCAATAAATAAATAAATAAAAAAATAAATGTTCATCAATTGATGAATGAATCAAGAAAATGTGGTACATCCATACAATGGAATATACTTGTCAATAAAAAGGAGCATCGGATATGTGTGAAAACTGAAAACATAATGCTAAGTGAAAGAAGTCAGTCACAAAGGATCCTCTAATACATAATTGTATTTATATGAAATGTCTGAAATAAGCAAATCCACAGAAATGGAGAGTAGCCTCTTGGTTGTCAGAGGTAGATTTATGGTTGTCAGAGGCTAGGAGAATTGGGAGAAAAAGGAATTAACCATTATCATATATGGAGCTTATTTTTGAGATAATCAAAATGTTCTCAAATTAGGGGGCTGGAGAGATGGTTCAGCGGTTAAAAGCACTGACTACTCTTGCAAAGGACCTGGGTTTGATTCCCAGCATTCACATGGTGGCTAACAACCATTCTTAAGGGAGTTCTACACTCTCTTCTGACCTCCACAGGCACTGCACATTATAGGCGTACTTACATATATGCAGGCAATACACTCATACAAATGGAAAAAAAAAAAAATTTAAGCCAGGTGTTGTGACACATGCTTTTAATCCCAGCACTCAGGAGGCAGAGGCAGGCGGAGCAAGGCCAGCCTGGTCTACATAGTAAGTTCCAGGCCAGCTGGGGCTATAGGGAGACTTTGTCTCAAAAAATAACTAAATAAATAAAAATTAAAAAAAAAAAAAAGAAATTAAAAAACGATGTTCTCAAACAAGATGGTAATGTTGGTAGTAACCTTGTAAATATACTAAAAAGTCACTGAGGGGCTGGAGAGATGGCTCAGCGGTTAAGAACACTGGCTATTCTTGCAGAAGACCCAGGTTTGAATCCCAGCACCCACACGACAGCTAACAACTGTCTGTAACTCCAGTTCCAGAGGATCCAAGATCCTCTTCTGTCCTCTGCCAGCACTGCATGACACAGGTGCACCTACCTACATACAGGCAATGCACACATACACATAAAATAAAATAATTTTTTTTAAAAAGTCACTGAAGCTGGATGTGGTGGCACACGCCTTTAATCCCAGCACTCAGGAGGTAGAGGCAGGCTGATCTCTTTGAGTTCAAGGCCAGCCTGGTCTACATAGTGAGTTCAAGGACAGCTGGGGCTGTCTCAAAAAGACCAAAAAAAAAAATCTTATTTTTATTTTAATTATATGTATATATGTGTGTCTGTGTATGGGAATGTGCATGTGAATGCAGGTCCCCACAGAAGGCAGATGAGGGTCATCTCTCCAGCCTCTGAATTATGCACTTTAAGATGACTAGCAGCTGAGGACATAGTATGTATGAGGCCCTAAGTTCAATCCCTAGCACTTCATAAACAGGGCATAGTGGCACATGACTAGAATCCCAGTACCTAGTAGGTGGAAGCAGAAGGATCAGAATTTCAAAGTCATCTTCAGCTACACAGAGTTCAAAGTCAGCCTGGAATACATGAGACCTTGTCTCTAATTAATTAAAAAATAAATGACAAATTTCATGGTGTATAAATTATACCTCAGTTAAAAACAAACAACAACAACAACAACAACAACAACAACAACAAAAAAAAAACAGGAGCTTGGCATTGTGGTACATGTTTTTAATCCCAGCACTCAGGAGGCAGAGGCAGGTGGATCTCTGTGAGTTCAAGGTCAGCTTGGTCTACATAGTGAGTTCCAGGTCAGCTGGGGCTACAGGGAGACTTGTCTCAAAGAGACTAAAACAAAACAAACAAAAAGCAAGAAAAAGAACCTCCAAGTTTAATGTCAATAGTATCATCATTGTGCCTGGCTTAGTGGTGCATGCCAACAGTCCCAGCTATGTAAGAGGACTTTCTTTTTATTTATTATTTTTATTTTATGTGTATGAGTTATGGACAGTTTCTAGCCATCATGTGGATGCTGGGAACTGAACCTGGGTCCTCTGCTAGAGCAGCCAGTGCTCTTAATGGTGAGCAATTTCTCTAGCCCCATCAAGAAGACAACTTGAGCCAATGAATTCAAGACCAGACAGGACAGGTAAAACACTATCCCTTGTCCCCTTGCAAATTATAATTATTGTTGTAGCTAACATTTGTTTGTTTGTTTTGAAACAGGGTGTCACATCACCCAGACTGGATGGAACTCCCTACGTAGCTCAGGATGGCCGTGAACTCTTCATTCTCTTGCTTTTGCCTCCCAAATGTTGGGATTCCAGACATGTCCCACTATACCAGACTCAGGTAGCTAACTAAGCCCTCAGAATAGCCAAATACCATTCTAAGCACATTTTCACCATTCGTTCATTTAATCCTCAAAACACCATGAGGTAAGTCATGGTTATGAGGTACATTTGATAGTTATGGAAAGAGGGGTGCTGAGAAGTTACTTGCCCAAGATATCAGAATTAGTGAAAGACAAGACTAAGTAAGATTCAACCATTAGTCCGTGTTCTCAACCATTATTTACTGTTTTATTCCTTTTTTGTTTTGTTTTTCATGATCTTTTTGAGACAGGGTCTCCCTGTAGTCCCAGCTGACCTGGAACTCACGATGTAGACCAGGCTGGTCTCTGCCTCCTGAGTGCTGGTATGCGCCATCATGTCAAGCTCTTATCTTTTTCTTGAGATGGTCTTACTATCTAGCTCTGGTTAGCATGGAACTTGCTATGTAGACCTGGCTGGCCTTGAACTTGCAATAATCTTCTAGCTCTGCCTTTTGAGGGCTGGTATTACAGGCATGTGCATCATACTAGGCTCAACCACTATGTCCTGCTGCCTAGTACTATTTGTCTTGGAAGTCTGGAGTGGTTGGGGAGACAGGAGAGACTATAAAGCAATTCATGAAAAGGAGAAGCTAGAACTGCTCTAGGTCTCTCAGTGGGGACTATTGACCTGTGAGGAGGAATAATATCTTGGTTCAGGGAAACTGTCCTATGGAGGATATTTAGTACAGTTCTAGCTTTTACCCAAAAGATGCCCCTAGCACGCCTTCTACCCCAATTGTGATAAGCAAAAATGTTTCCACACATTGCCAATTGTCCTTTCAGAGGAAAAAATCCCCCTGGTTGAAAACTACCTGAATCAGACCATAATGGAAAAGACAAGGTCTACACAGCAAGAGATAGCTCAGCAGTTAAGAGTACTTGCTGCTCTTGCAGAGGATAAGATTTCAGTTCCCAGCATCCACATGGTATCCTACAACTGTAACTCCAGCCCCAGATACCCACATGCATGTGCATATACACAAACTTACTGAAAAATTACACATACATTGGGAGCTATTGATATAAGCACAGCCATTATGTACATTGAGCTGTGGCAGGCTTGCTTGTTTACTTAAGAGTTTGTGTTTTGCACACCAGTACCTAATCTGCCAAGTCAGGAGGAATGTGTTTATATGGTGGAGTTCACAACAAGTATTTGACCGCTCCTTGACCCTCAGATACAGGTGGGAAAAACAGCTGTTGAAGCTAATTGAGTTAAGCAAACGGTGGCTAGCTCTGATGTTCTACTGTATAAAAAGGCTGAGCTAAAATAAACCGGGGCTGCAGTCCCTACTGACAGTCCTCCCAAGTACCTTTTCTCTGTCTCTTGTTTTTTCTTTCAATCCTCACTCCCCCTTTCAGGTACTGTCCATCTTGGCTGGCTGGCACCAACACACAATACAATATCTACATGAGTCTGCGAATATAGCTGAAGGGTATATAACAAGAAACAGTGCCAGACAAGGGAAACCTTCCTTTGAGTTGTTAGGCAGGATAGTCCAAGCGACTCCCAAAATTACACAGGCTATTGCCACAGTCCTTGACTGCCTCCCAGAACTTGATGGTAAGACCCTATTGGTGAAGACAGCACATACTTTGGACACAGGATTTGGAGCAACGGAGCTGGAATTGACCTAGAAGCTACCTCCCTTGAGGAGCTTTGGAGAGTGCTACACAAGCTGGTCCAACCCCAGCTTCAAGGTCTAAAAACCACATTACCAGCACAGCAAATGACATTGGTGCAGTAGTGGCACTTTTATCCTGGGGGTAATCAACAGCTACCTAATTAGACTTGAAGCCCACTCAATTGGTGGAAACACATGTGTGGTACTGTAAACCTAGCCAAATGCACACAGTTGGAGCAGTCTTAGAGAAAATTCCAAGGCTGTCACTCCCTAGACAAATGTAATTTCTTACTATGTGCAAAATATGGATCCTTAAATTTATAGACAAGTATCCCAGCCACCACCTATCAAAGAAGCTTCTTTTTCAAGAGAGAGAGTAGTTCAGTGGAGAGCTTGCCTAGCATGCATGAAGCTATGGGTTCCATCCCCAGGTCTGCTTGGTTGTACATGCCTGTAATTCCAGAACACAAGAAATAGAGGCAGGAAGATCAGAAGTTCAAGATTATCCTCAGCTACATAGGGAATTTGAGGCTAATCTGAGCTCCATGAGGCCATATCTCAAAAACAACAGGCTAAGCGAGGTGGTATGGGGCACACCTTTAATCCCAGCACTTGGGAAGTAGGGGCAGGCAGATCTCTGTGAGTTCAAGGCCAGCCACAGCAAGTTCCAGTCCAGCTGGGACTATAGGGAGACCCTGTCTCAAAAAGACCAAAACAAAAACAAAAACCCTGAAGGACAGTAAGAAGCAAGAAGAGGCAATGCTGGACAGGTAAGGATAAGAAAAGTGCTCAACAACAAACATGTTTCCTCACTCTCATAGAACTGTAAGCAGGATCAGCTCTAGTAAGTAAGTCAGTATTGGAAACACGCGTAACACAAGGGCTAGAGGGGTAGAAATGTCAAAGGAAACACATGAGAGTGTGACTTAAGGAAAATGACCAAAAGATTGGCTATGACTCTAATCCTCGTTCTCAGGAGGCTGAAGCAGGAGGATTGAAAGTGCCGGGACATCTTGGCTATACAGTAAGACCTTGTCTCAAAAACTCAAAAACGGGCTGGAGAGATGGCTCAGCAGTTAAGAACATGGGTTGTTCTTGCAGAAGACTGGGGTTTGAATCCCAGCACCCACATGGCAGCTAACAACTGTCCGTAACTCCAGTCCCAGGGGATCCAACAGCCTCTTCTGACCTCCGTGGGCATTGCACGACACTGGTGTACTTACCTACATGCAGGCAATATACGCATACACATAAAATAAAAAAATAATAAATAAAAATAAAAAAACAAAACAAAAATAAAGCATTATCCTAAAAGTTTTTGAGACTTTACTTTGCACAGAGTGGTATATAAAAGACTATAAGTGTTAAAACCTGTAATCCCAGCACTCAGGAGGCTGAGGTAGAACTGCTGTGAGTTCAAGGCCAGCCCCAAGGGCTCCACAATGTTTGTCTCTCTGAAAAAATGAAAGCAAAGAGATGACAGTAAATCCCAGTTCTTGGGTTCAAGAAGCTGTTTACTAAGTAGACAGAGACCAAGTCAGACTACTAAACCTTTCATTATTTCTTCTCTCCACAAACCAAGAAATTCTAAATGTTTGCAGTTTAGATGACATTTCTTGTGTTTTAGGAGACATCCTTTGGTCAAATGATGTACCCAAATTTAGGGTAAGGGAATATGCTAACTATACATACATACATACATACATACATACATACAAACAAACAAACATAAAACCACAGCATAAGCCAGACAGACCCAATTGCACAGACCTGTTATCCTAGCTACATGAGAATTGGAAGCAGGAAGAGTAAATGTTCAAGGCCTCCTTAGACAACTTACTGAGACCCTGTCTCAAAATAAAAAGACATCTGGGGACACTGCTCAGTTGTAGAACACATGTTCAGTATGCCTGTTATGCCAGCATTTGGGAGACAGAAAGTTGGAGAATTGTGAGTTCAAGGCTAAACTAGGCTACTCAGAAAAGACCAGTCTAAGCTAGATAATGAAACTCTGTCTCAAAAACAACAAAAAACAGCCAGGTGTGGTGGTACAGGCCTTTAATCCCAGTATTGGGAGGCAGAGGCAGGCGGATCTCTGTGAGTTCGAGGCCAGCCTAGTTTCAATACAGGGAGACCCTGTCTCAAAAAGACCAAAAAAAAAAAACAAAACAAAACAAAACAAAAAAAAACCCAAAACAAAACAAACAACAACAAAAAACCCAAAACCAAAAACCCAAAACAAACAAAAACAACAAAAATAAAAACAAGGCTAGAGAGATGGCTCAGCAGTTAAGAGCATTGGCTGCTCTTGCAGAAGACCTGGGTTTGGTTCCCAGCACCTACATGGCAGCTAACAACCTTCCTAATCCAGTTCCAGAGGATCTGATGTCCTTTTCTGACCTCTGTGAGCACTGCATGACATGGGTGTACTTACATACATGCAGGCAATATGCTCAATACACATAAAATTAAAATAAATAAATGAAATGTTTTTTAAAAAATAACAAAACAAGGGCTGGGGATGGAGTTTAGTAGTAGAGTACACATGCAAGGCCCTGAGTTCAGTTTGAAAACAAAACAAACAACAACAAAACAACAGTACATCACAGTGACCAAATGAATCATATAATTAAAAGGGCTAGGACAAAGAATTCAAAGATGCTGCTAAGACTGAAGCATACTACTTTTTTCTGAAAACTTTCTCCCTCCCTTTTCTAATATCTGAGAGATGGACTAGTTGGTGAAATTTTATTTTGTTCCCTCCCGACAAATATTCTAGATGTAGGCAGGACTGCATAAGTAGATTCCAACTATAAGATGTTTCAGGGGCTAAAGGGGAAAAACTAAGTTTTATTCTTTCGCTAAAGTGTTGCTCTTTCTAATGTTGCATAGTTTCTAAACTTTAGTATACTTGATGTACTGAGTTAATGGCTAGTACTATACTGGCTCTGTGAAAATGTCTATGACAGCACCTGCCAAACTGTTAGATGCTAGATATTTGTTCACTTTTCAATCTTAAATTTGGTCCCAGTCTTAGCAGATGCCACTGTACCTGAATAGTTAATAAATTGCACAGAGCTGTTGGTGGGAAGAAGAAAGGAAGGGAGAGAGGAGGAAGGGAGGGAGGGAGGAGGAAAGGAAGGAAAGAAAAAAAAGAATGAAGGAAAGGAAAAAGAAAGAATCCAAGAAAGAAAGAAAAGAAAGAAGGAAAGAATCCAAGGCCAGCTTGGGAAAATTAAGAGATCCTGTGTTAAAATAAAAATTATGTAGCTTGAGCTGGGTACAGTGGCACTCAGCTATAATTATAGCACTCAGGCGGCAGAGGCAGCCTCCTGACCTTATCAGAGGTCATTCTCTGATACACAGTGAGCCCATTCTTCAATACAAAGTGAGTTAGATACCAAAAAAATATGTATGTGAGCCCGGCAAGGTGGTTCATGCCTTTAATCCCAGCACTAGGGACACAAGGCAAGTGGATCTCTGTGAGATCAAAGTCAGTCTTGTCTACACAGAGTTCCAGGCCATCTGTGGCTATAGGGAGACACTGAATCAAAAAACAAAACAAAACCCAAAAATATGTGTATGTGTGTGTATATGTCAGTGGCAGAGTGATTGCCTAGCATGCCATAAGGTCTTGGTTTCATTGCCCAGTAACACATACATCCATAAGACTGTTATGGGCAGCTTAGCAGCAGCTTTTAATCCCAGCACTTGAGAGAGGGAGGCCAGTGGATCTCTGTGAGTTCAAGGCCAGCTGGGACTACAGGGAGCCCCTGTCTCAAAAATGCCAAAAAAATAAGAAAAGAAAAAAAAAAAATCAAATACCAGCTCCGCTGTCTTCTTCTGTTGCTCTCCACCTTATTTATTTTCTCTTTTTTTTTTTTTTGAGAAAAACAGGGTTTTGCAAAATTGAGCAAATTATTTGCACTATCCCAAATTCAGTTTCAAGACAGCAAAATGCACAGGGCTAGTACATTTGTAATCCCAGTATGTGGGAAGTAGAGGCGTTAAGTATCAGGAGTTTCAGACCAGCCTGGGATAAATGAAACCCTGTTTCAAAGCAACAAAGATTATTGGACTTGCCTACTACAGTACCTGTTATATAAATAAGCTTCAGTAAATGAAAGCAACTATTTTAGTCCTGAGTAAAGGCACAAATGTACTCCCCCACAAGCTCCAGGGCAGCTGTCTAAAATCAGTTGGTGCTAGAAGTGACACCCTGAATTACAAAAAGGATGGTTCTGACAGTAATTTGTAAGCAAAGGAAAACTAACAACTAACTGGGTTTTAAATTGCCTCTTACATGGCAGCCTGTGCTTCAGCTCCAGGATCTGTCCACAGACTGCGCCTAGAACCCTAGTTAAGTGTCTGGATCACCCACGTCAGGCGCCAGAAACCACCAGTCTGTGGAGCCCGTAGATGAAGGGCTTTGCCCGCGGTCTATGCAACGAAGGGGATGCTGCCGCGTAAAAACTCCCAGGAAGATTACAACAAAGCAATTAAGCACCTTGGCCCAGGGTCCTCTGCCAGACTCTCGGGAAGTGAGCGCCGCCGGGCAACCATCTACTCGAACAAAACCCACCTGGACGCCACCATCTTGCCGTGTGGGGCGGAACTTCCGCCACCACTAGAGTTCAGTTTCCGCCGCGCGGCCCGTTTGGCGGCGCTCTGGGAATTCCTGCCCAATTTCCAACTGCCGAGCCCCAAGCAGTGTGGCCTGTGGTACCTTATCCTCCGAAAGCTCTGTACCGACACCTGGAACACGCATTGGTCTGGTGTACGCAGACACCGGGCGTTCAGCACCCGTGGCAGAGCCAAAAGATACTCAGTCGTCCTTCAGCACTCACCACCGCACAAAACTGCATCCTGTATTCCAGCACCGGTCCCCGCAGGCAGCACACGAAAGTCTGCACACACACTAGTGTGACCGTGCCATTGTGCTGCTTATGGACGAGCAAGACGGTAACCATGGAAAGGACCCAAAGAAAGCAACACTGCTAGAGAGCACTGCGGGGATGAACAGTGGTGGTGAGACAGAAAACAGCCTCGTTGTGTTCAGTCCCCAGCACCTTGACTTTGTTCTTGCCAGTCTCCGTTTTTGAAAATCCTCCCTCTTTTTCCTGCCACTCCTCCTCGCACAAAGTCATTCCCTTTTAGATAGCCAGGGTCAACTCTAAAACTTTTACCAATCAGGACCCTTTACTCAATTGGAAGCCAGACATCGGCAAAATCACGTGTGTAGCATGCTGCAACCATCACTGATTACCTTTTCTGGAGGAAGTCCAGGCAGCCGTGTGATATGGAATCCTAATACTTGGAAGGTTGAGGGAGGACGGTAAAGTCAAGGTCTGCCTAGGTAACAAGTGAGACCCTATAGCCACAAAATAAAGAAAATATAAAAGTCATGTTCTCAGCCGGGCGTGGTGGCGCACGCCTTTAATCCCAGCACTCGGGAGGCGGATCTCTTCTGTGAGTTCGAGGCCAGCCTGGTCTCCATGGTGACTCCAGGACAGCTGGGTCTACAGGGAGACCCTGTCTCAAAAAAAAAAAAAAAGTTATGTTCTCTACAGTGGACTGAATAAACTGAGTTCCCTGTAGGAATGGGACCTTGTTCTTTGCTTCCCAATACTCAGCACTCGGTGTTTTGCTATTATACATACTTGTCCTTAGTAAATCATTTGATTGAGGCCATCTTATGACAGCCAATGTTAATTCAGTGGCTTAAATTTTTGCAGGCATCAGAATTACTGGGAAGATTTGTTATAACACATTGATGAACCTGGGTGTGATGGTATATGCCTATAATTCTATCACTGGGGAGGCAGAGGTAGAAAGACTTTGGAACTTCAAGGCCAACCTGGGCTACATAATGAGATCTTGTCACAAAAATAAACTGAAAAGTCTTACCCTAAAAGCTTCAGCTTCAGTATGTCTCAAATATAACCCAAGAACTTGTACTTCTAACAAGTTTTCATGTGTGGTTACTGGTCCAGAACAACTTCAGAGCTATATAATCTTTCACAAATTCTCTGGTCTCAGCCATAGCTGTGAACTTCAGCTACAGGAGTTTAGCCAATTCAGAAGTCCCAAACTGCATCTGACTTAGTAAGTTCTGGAGGTAAGGGAGAGACCTGGGACAAAACTGCAGAATGAAGACAGAAGAAAATCATAGTTTAGAATGAAATAAGGGGTCCAAGCCAACTCTACCAACTGAACTACATCCCCAGTCTTTTTCTTTGTTTGCCTTTGAGACCTTGACGAGGTCTGATGGAGCTCAGGCTGGCCTTGAACTTACTAGGTAGACAAGGACCTTTAATTCTGGACCCTCCCACCTCCACCTATCAAGTATTGTGATTACTTGAGCTGCCACATCCAGCCTCTACTGATAAATCGTGTGTGCGTGTGTGTGTTTGTGTGTGTGTGTGTGTGTGTATTATGCCTGCATGTAAGGGCACCTGTGCCATGCAATGCCTGCAGAGGACAAAAGAGGGCATTAGATTCCCTGGAACTGGAGTTAACAGATGGTTGTTAGCTATCATGTGGGTACTGGGATTTGAACCTGCATCTTCTACAAGAGCAGTAGTGCTCTTAACCACTGTGCCATCTTGAGATCCAGCCCCCTTTACTGATAAATCTTAATATCACTAAAGGTGGGACAATTGGACACAATGTACCTCTTTGATATGATAGATTGGAAGTATAAAACATCTAAGACTGTAAAAAAAAATAAAATGAATCTGTGGGGCATGGTGGCACAAGCCTTTAGTCTCAGCACTTGGGAGGCAGAGGCAGGTATATCTTTGTGAGTTGAAGGCCAGCCTGGTCTACATAGTGAGTTCCAGGACAGCTGGGGCTACAGGGAGACCCTGTCTCAAAAAAACCAAAAAAAAAAAAAAAGGAATAAATAAATAAGCCGGGTGTGGTGGCACACACCTTTAATCCCAGCACTTGGGAGGCAGAGGCAGGGATATCTTTGTGAGTTGAAGGGCAGCCTGGTCTAAATAGTGAGGTCCAGGACAGCTGGGGCTACAGGGAGACCCTGTCTCAAAAAAACCAAAAAAAAAAAAAAAGGAATAAATAAATAAGCCGGGTGTGGTGGCACACACCTTTAATCCCAGCACTTGGGAGGCAGAGGCAGGGATATCTTTGTGAGTTGAAGGGCAGCCTGGTCTAAATAGTGAGGTCCAGGACAGCTGGGGCTACAGGGAGACCCTGTCTCAAAAAAAAAAAGACAAAAAAAAGTAAAATAAAAATAAATAAATAAATAGATAAATAAATTTGAATACAGTCAAGTATTAGGACCTATCTATTTACTTGAAATAATGACAGTACGGGAACATGCTATATAATGACTCAACGATACAATTAGGCAAATTCAGTGTGGAAAGCTGTACACATGGCCAATTTCTTTTATAAATTCCATGTCCCAGAAAGAAGGGAGAATTTCTTGTAGCTTTAAAATTACTTAAGGCGCTGTCAGTTAAACAGAATAGGTGGTCCTTATTTGTATTATTTTGTTGTTACTATGTCATTTAAGACAGGGGTTTATGGGCTGGAGAAATGGTTCTGTGGTTAAAAGCACTGGCTGCTCTTGCAAGAAGACCTGGGTTTGATTACTAGCATCCACAGGGAGGCTAACAACTGTCTGAAACTACAGGTCCAGGGAATCCAATGCCTTCTTCTGACTTTGGTGGGCATAATAGGACATGGGTGTACTTACATACAAGCAGACAAAACATTCATACACATAAAATAAAAATAAGTAAGCCAGGCCCGACAACACATGCCTTTAATACCAGCACTTGGAAGGCAAAGGCAGGCAGATCTCTGTGAGTTCACAGCCACCTGGTCTACATAGTGAATTCCAGGCCAGCTGGGGCTACAAGGAGACCCTGTCTAAAAAAGACCAAAAAAAAAAAAAAAAAAAGTTTTAGGCTAGCCTGGGCTACCTAGTAAGACTTTGTCTTAAAATAAAATACAAGCCAAAGTAGGCATGGTGGCACACACCTTTGATCCCAGCACCTGGGAGAAATCTCTGTGAGATTGAGGCCAACTTTGGCTAAAGGGAGATCCTGTTTAAAAAAAAAAAAAAACAAAACAAATGAATAAAATAAAATATGGGTCAGGTGCAATGATGCACACCTTTAAACTCCTTAATCCCAGTACTTGGGAAGCAGAGAGGCAGTCAGATCTCTGTGAGATCAAAGCCAGCAAATTCTAGGCTAACAGGGGCTATGGGGTGATCCTGTCTCAAAACAAAACAAAACAAAAACAACGAACAAACATAAAAAGAGGTTGGGGGCTCAGTTGGCAAATTATTTGTCTTGTAATCATGAAGACTTGAGTTGGAGCCCCAGAACTCATTAAAAAGGTGAATGGGGGCGGGGGGCTAGTGAGATGGCTTAGCAGTTAGGAGCACTTACTGCCCTTCCAGAAGACCTGGGTTTGGCTCCCAGCATCCACATGGTGGCAAACAGAGCCATCAGTAACTCCAGTTCCAAGAGATCACGCACCCTCTTCTGGCCTCTGAAGGGATTGCATGCATATGGTGCACCAGCATACATGCAGACAAAACACAAAATACTCATACAAACACAAAATAAAGTTTTACAATATTTTATTTATTATTTTTATGTGTATGAGTGTTTTGCCTGCATATATGTAAGTGCACCACATGCATGCAATCCCTGCAGAGCCCAGAAGAGGGCGTTGGATCCCCTGGAACTGAAGTTACAGACGACTGTTAGTTACCATGTGGGTGCTGGGAATTGAACCCAGGTTATAATAACAAGTGTTCTTAACCTTTGAGTCATCTCTCCAGTCCCACAAAATAAGTTTTTTTTAAAAAAAATATTTATTATTATTTTTATTTTATGTGTATGTGTGTATTGCCTGTGTGCAGGTAAGTGCACCCATGTCGTGCAGTGCCCACGGAAGACAGAAGAGTCTGTCAGATCTCCTGGAACTGGAGTTACAGACAGTTGTTAGCTACCATGTGGGTGCTGGGATTCAAACCTGGGTCTTCTGCAAGAACAACCAGTGTTCTTAACCACTGAGCCATCTCTCTAGCCCCATAAGTTTTTTTTTTTTTTAATTAAAAAAAATAATAGCTGGGCCCACTGTTGAACTTTTCTGGGGAGCCATGAAAAGATGGGAGACTGTTCTGTTCTTCTGAAGAACCGGGCCTAGGCAGAGCCTCTGTGCTGGATAGCTTTAGTGTCAATTTGACATACCTGGGTTGAGGGAGCCTCAATTGGGGAATTTCCTCTATTAGACTGGCCTATGGCCATGTCTGAGGGGCATCTTCTTGATGAGTGATGTGGGAGGGCCCAGCCCACTGTGGGTGGCGCCACCCCAGCCCACTGTGGGTGGTGCCACCCCTGGGCAGGTGGGCCTGTGTTGCATAAGAAAGCAGGCTGAGCAGGGGCCAGAGGAGCAAGCCAGTAAGCAGCATTCCTCCATGGCCTGTGCTCCAGCTTCTGCTTCCAGGTTCCTGCCCTGAGTTCCTACCTTGGGCTCCCTGATGAACTGGGACCTGGGAAAAAGATGTAAACTGAATAAACCCTTACCTCCCCAAGTTGATATTGGTCAGTGTTTTGTCAC